GGAGCAATAGAAATACCGTTATGTACTGTAATAACGTAGCCTTACACGGATATACCGATTTCTTGCTTCCAGACCCGAGAACAATGTCTGGGAGGGGTTGTGGCCAGGGGCTAAAGAAATACCGTACTGTAGCGTACAAACGTTGCCTGACACATATCTGCCGTTTAATTCCATGGTCACGCCTCAAGCCTGTTCTGAATACTAGCCCGGGTTCGAATCCCCACATGGGCACAATGTGTGAAGCCCATTTCTGGTGTCCCCCGCCGTAATGTTGCTGGAATATTGCTAAAAGCGGCGTAAAACCAAACTCACTCTGAATACTAGTATGCTACATAACATGAAACGTCGAAACGTCGTAACACCCAACTGCAACTTCAGATCGCAACATGGTGCATCGTGCCGAAATATCGTCCATAACATCACCTCGCATCGCAATTCTGGAACATTGACCGCAACATCTTGAATCACATTGTAACATTATGAATCGTAACATCGTAACATCCGATTGCAGGACATTACAAATATCACTGAAACATCGTGCATCACATAGCGTGTCGCATCTCAAAATCGTGTATCGCAACATTACCATCGTCACATCGTAACGATGGGACATCGTAACAACGTGACATCGTAATTTCGCAGCATCGTAACAATGGGACATCGTAATATCGTACAAATGGGATATCGCAACAGACGTGACATCGTCACATCGCAGCATCGTAACAATAGGACATCGCAACAACCACCGTCACATCGTAATATTGCAGCATCGTTACAATGGGACAGGCCCATGAAGATCCGGGGTAGAATAGGTAGAATAGGTCTTCAGCAACCCATGCTTACCACAAAAGGCGACTATGCTTGTCGTAAGAGGCGACTAACGGGATCGGGTGGTCAGGCTCGCTGACTTGGTTGACACATGTCATCGGTTCCCAATTGCGCAGATCGATGTACATGATGTTGATCACTGGATTGTCTGGTCCAGACTCGATTATTTACAGACCGCCGCCATACAGCTGGAATATTGCTGAGTGCGGTGTAATACTAAACTCACTCACTCACTACAATGGGACATCTTTATATTATATATAGCATCGTAATATCGTCTTGCATTAATATATATGATGAAGCGTGTGTTCATCTTCGATAGACCAACAATCTTACCTTGTAAAGAACTTCTGTTGACAAGAAGGAATCTAATTTAGGAATCAAGGCTAATTATTCTATATATGCCAGGAACAACTAATATTTGAATACTACATCCTTATTCCGTTCCTTTGATCATGTAATCATCTAAAAAATACACCTGCATTAACTGAGATAGTCGTATTATTTTTTATCTTGGAATATATGTTCTGATCACACACCTCACCACATGCATCACGTGAGGCTGGATTCAAGACACGGCAGAACGATGAATGCAAACTGACGAATATATGGGACAAATATTTTTACGAAATGTGGCCAAACCCGTAATAGCATTTTGGTTTTTATCGAATAATGGGATAAGATTAACCTCAGCAGACGTAATACGGTATTTTCAACTACGAAATCGGCTGTCTAAATTAGGACACAGACAGTGCTTCTGTTAAGCTGGGAATGGTCAGCTTTAACCTGTCGGTGAAATCAGAGTTGCAGAGCTGAACCTGTGAGTAGATTATAACATAGTCATATGGTGATATTCATCTTAAAGCCTCTAACGAACATGATAGGTGCATAACCGAATATTGGGATATGTTGAGAGGCGTTGTATTGACCGGTCAGGTGGTACACGCCCCTCAGCTTCTAAGCACGATGGTACTGAAGAGTGACCTCATGTTGGAACAGTAACCTGTGTGGGTCTGCCTGTGGTGTGGTTGTGATGTGGTTGTGATGTGCCTGATAGTCGTTTAAGCTTCCTTGCTCTCATCGTTGACATAAAACCTTATGCAAACCCATTTTGATTATGGCAAAGAGCATTCTTATAGAGCATGAGTTTTGTTGTTTTGTTTTTTTAAAATCATTTGCCAAACGTTTTGTTCGTTTGGTTATCATTAATTTCATTCGTACAATGTTGTTATCACCTTTATACATGTATATCATCTCAACGACGATTCTTTCTGGGTCTTTTTCAATAATACTTTGTTACTGAATGGCGTCATCAGTCTATTATTGTTGCAAGACAATACAGTCTTTACAGTACTTTATGGATTCATTACATAATGACAATCCTTTATTGACACCCTAGTGATACTTTCATACTCCGTGAAATTGTAGCAATCCATTATTGCTGCAATACATCAAATACAATCCTCTACTGATGCATTTGTCCAAAACAACCTTGACAGCGTTATATTCGTTTAACTTCCTCATGAGGTTACAGATCGTATTAATTATTACAATTACATCCCCCTTGTCTCATTCCCGTATGAACTTGTTTGTAAAATACTGAATGTGTTGTTTATTCTCATATATAACGTGTATTCACAAGTGACGGGAAAACCCTTCTACAACGGACCGATGAATTGCAAATTTTATCATTGTACAAAATTGCCACATTACTATAAATAGTACACATGTTTATCATTTACTAATACCCAACAGCTCTCTTATATTTGAAAATTTTCCGGACTCCACCAAAAAAGTTCTTTAAAGAAACTATCATTAAAATTTTGACACAGTTCACTATTTGTTACGAGGGAGGAGTGCAGAGAAAGGGACAGCCAGGTGTGCGAGAAAGGATGGAGACGGCACAGCACAGGCTAATGAATCAATACCTTGGTGGGCACTTATGCACGTGCTTCTCAAACACCTGGCTGTCCCTTTCTCTGTCCAGAAAATTTTCAAATATAAGAAAGCTGTTGGGTATTAGTAAATGATAAACATGTGTACTATTTATATTTATGTGGCAATTTTGTACAATGATAACATTTGCAATTCATCAGTCCGTTTCTGACTCAAACGGACTGTATCTTTTGACTAGAGAATGTACAACGTACAGATAGTTTATGGCCCATGCCGAGATCTTAATCCAGAGTTCGGTAGCAGATGTCACAACGTAGTCTGTAAGTTTCAATAACCCATATTGATCATACCTAGTGTCACAATGTGTTATTTTCCATTCACCGTCTCCTTTGTACACACACTTCATAACTCCGTGAACCTGTGAATAGTTTTTGTACCCACAATTCAATACTCCATACATGTATGTGATACGACGGACTAAGTTAATTACCCACGTCCTCAGCACTGTGTGTGACCACAACATCGCCAGTGGTGGACTATCTGACACAATGGTTTTGTGTAACGTTTGTCAATATCACAGCTTGATTGACTGACACTAACAAAGGTATTTCCACAGGCCTTTTTAACGATCTGCACCAAGATGTGGTTTACACTTTTAGCCTGGGGTGTTTTATCAACACTTCAAACATTCAAGTGGTCTACTGTCTGAGGTCTTTTCACCCGTTATTCACCAGTATTTTATTTGTGAGTTCATTCAGTATGGCCATAGTGTTGGATTGTGTCGATGTGTCAGCGGAGTTCCTAGTATCGACACAACAAGCAGTCTAGGTGACCGTTATAATATATTGAGTTCAGTGTGTGTGGGTGTAAATGTAACGCTCATTCTTATTTGATATGGAAGCGATGATAGGTACGGATACACTGTTCATTTCAGAATCCTCTTAGTTCAGATCATAAGAAAAAATACAAATATCCTATTGACGTTCTGTCACGTGTACATACTTGACAATCCCTTTTTTCTGAAATAGAAACTGTGTATAAACCAAGGGCTTTGATGAGTTAAATTCAGGGCGTTTATGGAAAAGTCTTCATGCACCCGCTAAACTTCAGCCAATTCATTGCTACATCATAGATACCTGTTTATGATGTAATCACGTCAGTGAGTTGTGATCCGGCAGCTTTGGACAGTTTTGCACTTAGACCCGTGAAGATCCGGGTTAAAATTTTGTCGTAAGAGGCGACTAACGGGATTGGGTGGTCAGGCTCGCCGACTTGGCTGACACAAGTCATCGGTTCCCAGTTGTCTAGATTGATGGTTGTGCTGTTTATCACTGGATCGTCTGGTCCATACTCAGTTACTTACACACCGCTGCTATGAAGCTGGAATACTGCTGAGTGCGGCGTTAAACAACAAACCCACCTACCCAAATAGCTACAGATTAAAATGTTTTGATTGCATTATATTAACAAGAAGTCAAAACATACCCATGCCAATAACGGTTGTCACCCCCCTTCAATTGTAGTTATAGGCTGAGCACCAATCTACACAATCGTAACCCAATTGTGTAGATTAATGCTCATGCTGTTGATCACTGGATTGTTTGGTCCAGACTCGATAATTTACAGACTGTCGCCATGTGTGTGTGTGGGTGTGTGGGGTGGGGTGTGTTTGGTTACTGCTGAGGGAGTGTTAAGCTAAAACAAAGAAACAAAACAAGGTATTGCCGTTAAAAAGTGTCAGCCTTTATTTAATCTGCGGTGGGGGGAAAGTGTGAGGTGATGCAAGCTGGGAACATTTACCCACGAGCACGAGTGTGGCGCTGACAAACAAGAAAACATTAGCACTGCCAATCGGAGATTCGAACCAGGTTCTACGTACTGATGTTCCTGTGGGATACAACCTTCCGCAGCGAATTGAGACGCCTCAAAATGGCTGGGCTATAGACTAACTCTTAGTATCTGATTATATATAATTTTGATAGAATCAAACAAGTCCTTTGAAATTGAATGGAGCCCCAGTGAGAAGGGCGATTCAGATCATGAACCGTAGGAAATCTAGACTTGCTTATAACTTTAGCATTGCAGAGACGGTTTGGCGGATTGGAAGATAATGCGGCTCAGGGACTGAGACAGACGAAGCTGGGCTACTGTGTCCAAACATAGTCGAGACTGAGTCATCAAAAGGATTTGCTGACAAAATGACACTCTTTAATCCTTCAAACATTTTCTAGAACATCCGTGAATGTCGTTGTGACATTGTGTTCTGTTTGTTTCAGAACGCAATAAGTATGGATACGTGACTTACAGAATATAAGAGGTGAAGTTCGACAAGTTCAGTAACTCGCCCTATCTTGCCGCCATGTTGTCAACGTTTTTCAAAAGAAGGCGCCGGGCCTCCTCTTTGACTTTTCTTGGACTTGTAACCTTCATGTTCCTGTGTTTATGGAACTTTTCCACGATGGACAACCCTTCACAGACATACGTGCATAGATTCAGGTTATTCGGTGGAGCCGCGGAGGACGATCTGCCGTCTGACTTTTACAAACTACCGGCGGATGATCCTGCGCTGGTGAATATAGTCCATAGCAAGTTCCGGTCTCCGTCCACAATGGAATATAACCTGACTGAACCGGACAAGCGAGACTTCTCACGTGGACAAAGTGAAGTCATTGACCAGCTCCTCGGTTCAAAGGTAAAATAGTAAGCAACAAAGCGTTTAAACAAACCATTCAATTTTTGTGTGAAGACTTTATTATATTAATATTGTTTTACGTTTATGAAGTTATAAACGTGGATACAGGTACATACCTTTTTCAACCTTTATAGTTGCGTTTAAGGGGTTATAAACAGCAAACATTTATGTTCTAATCATTTGTTTGAATACTTTATTTCATTGGTTTTGTTTTCCTTTATATGAAGATTTAAACGTGCATACAGGTTTCAACTTTTAGCGGATATACAAACTTTGCACATCTGCTTTAACGTTTACAAATCCATAAACGCAACTAGCTACTGATGGTAAATCTTTTAAATAAATAACTCATGATCAGCAATGATAACTTGATACGCTGCTTATATATCAGTTACCAAATACAGGCTGTAGACTGCTGTAGGCATCATTCACAACACAACACAATCCCTCTCACATTCTACAACAAGGCAGGAACTGTAGTGGGCGTAAACTGCCATCTTTCGACCAAAGTTTTTGCTTAGTTTATCATCAAATTGGCAAGGAATGAGTTTCCATTTATTTGTGTGTTTGTTTACATAAATAACAAACATGTTTGTTCAAGAACAGATTGTAATTTTGCATGGTATTATTTTAGCTTGACAACACTCGATGTCAGATGAGAAGGTGTATACGTAAACCTATGGTATTTTGAAAAATCCTCCTTCATATTCACCTACCGCTGTTTGGTATGCAGCGATTATCCCCGAAAAGCAGCATTCTCAGTCGGGATTTTTATCAATTTGTAATGCGGGACAAAATATATACCCGGGAAGTATCTTGATTTATAGAAACTAGAACCATTTTAACAATTCTCCAGTAAAATATGAAAACCAAACAAATATGTTGGCATGGTTTGTTAGTTTGTTGTATTAATGCAGAGTCGGCAATAATTCAGTTATATGACGTCGGTCTGAGAATACTCGAATCTAACTTTTGACACTTTTACTGTTCTTTAAGGGCGATAACCTCACTAAAACAGGACTGAAAAGGCCACTGTGAATTTTGAGATGACGAATATGAATTTAAGATCTGAGAATCCCGTGCGACCGAGAGTTTCAAACTGAGGTTTAAAATGGAGCGTAAGCCCATGTTCGTATCCCCATGACATGGGACAATTACAAACTGCTTGGACATATTTTGTGACCCTCTGACATATAACTTCTTACACCAATGAAATGTCATGTTACCATAATAATAATCACATAAATGCCTCCGTAAAAACAGAGGACAGAAATTAGTTTGTGGCGTTGTCCCAAGAGCTCGACATTACACACAAAGTGTCATGTTAATGTAGTCCTGCAGTTGGGTGTTGGGAATGATGTCAAATTGTGTATAGTGACATAGCGGACGTAGAGACGGGCGGACAGAACCGCGTCATTCTGTCTAATCATGCCGATTTTAAGCTTAACTTAGTGTTTGTATTTTCAATGACATAACGGAAGGACGAATCTCCGACCTATAATGCAAAATCACATTGACAGTGCCAAAGTTAACTAAAATGTTTGTATTTTCAATGAAAACGGATGAAAGAATTTAAAAACCATAATTGTTCCACATCCAAATTCACAGTGTCAAGTAAAGAGTTTTCATCAATATCAAATAGTCTTGTCACAATTTTAAGTTCAAACATTATCTGATGTCCCCTGTGTACAATTAAGATATTGGCAATTCGCCTTTGGACTTTCGACCTAATCGCCCGTCACGTGTCCAGGTTAGTCTACACTATGCCCATGCTTGCATGTGTTCGTTTTCCCCCCAAAATGAAAAGGTCTGATTTGGTATTCGCAGTCAACCAAACTCACACGCTTCTTTAAAGACTACGTGATTCCGCTGAAATATTGTCTGCGGCATTGAATAGCACTTGCTCTTGCATTACGACGGTCGGTCGGGTTACAAATAGGGGTGGGTATTGCAGAGAATTTTCATATTGCGATATATTGCGATGCGAAAGCATGTATTGCGATATGTATTGCAATATATTGCATGAAGTATTTTTAAACAAAAAACTACTTATAATCGAGGTAATGCTTGAGTTATAGAGCAAATACACAGCAAAATCACTGTGCTTCATTAAGCTTTAATAACAACTTTTATTTATGATTAAACATAAAAATGTGAATAATATTTGGCACAAATGAAAAAAGGAAATATCCGAAGATTTCCGAGTGTTACGAAGTTTTCCGAATGCAAGTCAAAATACCGGTTTTCGATCAGCGTATCGCAATACGTATCGTTTTCATGTCTGAACCGGTAAATACCGGTAAACCGGTTATATTGCGCAGCCCTAGTTACAAAAACACAATTCTTTCTTTAAGAAATAATTTTTCAGGTAGATCTGTTTGTTAGATGTTAGTGTGAGGCAGTCTTGATTCATGATGTAAGAACGGGGAGGTGTTGTGGATTACGTATATAATAGCATATGTCACAAGTGATAAATCACCTCGTCTCAGGAAAAGATGTTGACAGCCTTAACTGCTTGTTTAATCTAGATCTGAATTTAATTTGCAAATTTTACACAGCATATTGTAGTCAAAACACGTTTTCAGTATAAACCTGTCGTATAAAAGACGTCCATTGGTTTTGTTTACTGAAAGCGTTTATTTTAATTGCCCCTTTATATACATTAAGATAATTATGCTCGATTTAAAAACATGAATTATTTGACAGCTTGAATGACGAGAAATTTATCACCCCAAACTGACCTCCACAGACATGGTTGAGATCAAGCGACGTCTCATGGAAATATTTATTACTCGCCCGTGGAAGATACTGCAGTGTAATATTTGTACGACAATATTACTATAAGGGTAATGCTATTTTTGAGGGCATTATCATTTGCAGAAGCCCAAGGTCTTCCATTCACTGCCCGACGAAGGAGGGCAGTTGAAAAAGACCGTTATTATTGCTAAAATACATGGAATTTGTGTTGAAAAGAAAAAGGAAACAATGAAGGAATTTGACTGTAAGTTTACCCTAATCAACTTTTGACGGGGTTGACTGCCCGAATGCAATTACGTCATCGAACAATTCAAGTGACGTCACAACAGAAAGTGACGATATTCGACCTTGGCCTCTGACATAGCCTGCAACATGTCAAACTATGTCAGTGTTCGGTTTTGGTCCATCAACAGCCTTAATAGTGCAATTGTTAAGGTTAGCACCAACAAGAAAGCTAATATTACCGCTATTTAAAGTGGCAATTCGGGTTGCTTTGACTTGTTTGACCCAGAATATCTGCCAGTCGAAAGCCAATTAATGTCGAATGAACCGTAAGCCCACGCACCCACTATCACGTCACTTGACAACGGAACTGATACTGGCCCGTCGTTAAGGTTGAGCGGTCCAACATCATTTGCAGCGGCCCGCAAATTTCTGATAATGGGAGGGCCGTTTCATGATAATTCCATGTGTTTTAGCTATAATCAGCTGTATTCTTTAGACCCGATAGCCGAGGCATTAGTTACATATACTGATTACAAATTGAAAAATTTGGAGGAATGATGGTTGAGACGCAGGTTAATGCGGTCTCTTATTACTGCTACTGCCAGATCAGAAATCTTGGCACCATCAGGCAACATCTTACAGAGGACACTTGCAGATCCTTGGTCTAGACTGAACTAAAGGAACGATCTACTGTGTGGACTACCATAGTCCCTCATAGATCGATACAGAGACTACAGAAAATTACGACTGGACTCGTTACTCTCTCTTAAAGAGACAGACAGACAGACAGAGTTAGCAATATTCTATCAACACCAGGGAACACCAGAAACTTAACCTCACACACAACACGCATTTGTTGAAAAGTTAACGGGTCTTCAGCTGCCACGTGTGAACGCTGTAACCCCAAGGTTACCCCACCACTCCTCAAGTCAGTAAGTTAACTGAGACCCCAGAGTGGAAACGTTCTAATAAGCCTGGGTGATGTCTGATTCAAGAACAATAATATTTACCTAGAACCCGAGGCGGGACTGGGAGAGTTAGTGAGTGAGTTGCGTTTAACGGCGCTTGAACACTATGCCAGTTAAATATCTGCTAATATTAGCGAAACTCCCGAAGCGATGCAAGTCCAAGACCCACAAACACGGGTTTGGCGCTGACAAACCAAGAAACATTACCGGGCTAACAGGGATTTGAACCACCAAGATCCCTGCTTATCACCTGGGGAAAAGGTTATTATTTTAGCGTGGGTATATTTAAATGCCGGAGAGGTTATGAACAATTATAATGAGGTTAATTTTCAACGAGGGAAGGGGGGGATTTTCAAATGGAAGGTTATCATTTATACACGTGGTTGTTATTCAAATACACTCATGACTTTAGACAAAGCCAACAATACCTTGTAACATAAATCCCCGAGATCCACCTGTGTCGCGGTCGTGCAGGTGTCATGTTAACTACACTTACACTCTGTCGCCACGACAGGAAGACATATGGGCGTTGTTCTCCCCACCTGAAAACATAAGACGTTCTGCATAAACAACACATTAATATTCTTGGGAGATACCGAGACCATGGTATATTACGTGGATGAAATAACCATTAAAGGATAACAAACATGATAAAAAAGCATGTTTTTCTTGTATAGTTCTGTAGAATAAATTTTGGATTCAAATTTTAGAGAAAATGACCTCACAGCTAAGAGAGGTATGAATTGATTTTTGAAGCAATGCAAATCGCAGAATCGCCACGGCCTATCGTAATGTTTCAACGTTTTGTTAAGAATGTTTTGTTTTTTATGCCATTCTGTTAATAGTGTCAGTAGTCAGACTGAAAAACACATCTGTTAATGATAGGGACCATGCCTTTGACAGAAGACCACAAACATATCACAAGCCGTTTGACAGAAATAATCACTCGGACCTGTACGATAGTGGCTATCGGTGTCCCACAATTTAAGAATGTTCTGAAAGTTAGCAGATGTATCCATCCATAACGTCTGTCTATCCTCTGTCTTCAGGAGAACGGCTTCTTCGTGGACTGCGGGGCGTTCGACGGCGAGACCAAGTCTGTGACTCTGATGTTCGAGAAGCTGCGGCAATGGCGGGGACTCCTAGTGGAGCCAAACAGAGACCAATACTTCAAGATTGTCAAGAAAAACAGGAATGCACATTCCATCAACGCGTGCGTGCGCACGGACATACAAAACTATGGTGTACGTGTTTCTTATTGAACCATAGTAAAACTGAGTTTGAAACACTGTCTAATGTCGGTAGTTTAGTGAGTGAGTTTAGTTTTACGCCGCTTTTAATAATATTCCAGCAATATCTCGGCGGGGGAAACCATGTGGGGAATCGAACCCGGTTCTTCGACGCGAGCGAACGCTTTAACCACTAGGCTACCCCACCGCCCCGGCAGTCTTAAAGAAGATCTACATTGAAAGCATAAACTGGGAGTTCATACAACAGTTCCTTTTCCCTAACCGTTGTCCGATAACTTGTGTGTGAATAAGTTGGGTTTATTTCTTATTTGAACATATTTCCTGTAATATCAAAGCGTGACAGTTTAATGTGTGAGGAAAGCCCGAAGTAACGCTGGTCTTAGTCATTTGTCACTTTATATTGAGAACAATTTGTTCTTTCCTTTCAGAGACCGGAAAAGAGTGAAGAACGCTATGGCTTTTTCGAGGGCAGACAACGCAACGATGTCAAGGCAGTTCCATGTTTTTGGCTAACGACGTTGCTCCTGGCAACTGGACAAAAGACCGTTGACCTCCTGAGCATTGACCTTAATGGCAAGGAGATGCCCTTGCTACAGACTATTGACTTTGACAGGATCAATATCAAATCAATCAGTTTAGAAATACCGATATCCTACGAGGGGAGGTCTATTTTACCCATATTGGACTATTTGAAATTAAAGGGGTTCTCCGCGATGCATCAGTTTACAGATCACGTTCATAAAACAAAAGACCTCGTTTTGAAAAAGACATCAGCTTGAAACAGGCCAAGATCGGGAAATGCTGTCTTGGTGATATTTCAAACGAGAATTGGAATTGTTGACTTCAGTGCTAATGGACATTCTAAACATATATTCAGCGGATCAGTTCACAAAGGAATACGATCGAGAGTGTGGCAAATACCGGGTCCAAACACTGTTTTGACATCTATCAATGGAGACATGACGTAAAGAATGGTAATGACGTCACAGTGCCGAGTCTTGGAGGTCATCGTGATGCGACATTCTTGTGCAAGGCCCATCACACGTGAAGCGAGAACCAGGACATGAAAGAAACAATTGAAATATGTAATCCTTGTGTGGAATCAATGATTATAATCAGGAGCCCTGATGTTATGATTTGCTGCATTGAAACCTTTACCTACAGTACAAGGACATTTCTGGGTATGGAATAACATGCACGATGGATCTCACAGAGATTTTTTTCATCTTACGGTTATTTCCAATGACAATCCAGAGCTGACGTAGTCAAAGCTTGGGTGTTGTAATGGTGTGTTACACTGGCGTACACGTACACATATATACATCTCAAATTACTCATTTTATGCAGTTTGCCATGTAAGGACAAAATATTGTGTCAGCATTTAGGCCACAAACAAACGTCACAGCCTAGGGAGTTTGTCTCATATATCCGTACATACCAGCAGAGAGGTACGACAAGCACGCCATCAAGTCATCGAGCTTTTCACATCAATGCACCAATGACTATAGTCTGTTTGCAGTGAAAACGTACCGGTGAATTGTAAATTACAAAATTGTAAATCGAATAAAGTGAAATTAAGATTGCGAATCCTCATAATTCTACCTTGCCAATTGAACATTTAAATCTTAGATTTTTATTCAACTTATGAAAAAAGTTGTTTAACAAACGACCATAGTTTCAAATCGCTTATATTGGTTTGTATTACTAGGGGGTAAGCGCAGTAGTTGGAACAGTGAAACAAATGCACGTGCGGTACGTGATGAGCTTTATCTTAGACCAACCCTACTTGATCTCGGTGTTTCATTTTATGTGCATACCCCCTTGTAATACAAACCAATAATACCGATTTGAAACTATGATCGTTTGTTAAACAACTTTCATCCCAAGTTGCATAAAATTCTGAGATTTAAATTTTCAAATGGCAAGGTAAAATTATGAGGATTCGCAATCTTAATTTCACTTTATTTTATTTACTTTTGTTGTTTAAAGTGAAATTCATCGGTACGTTTTCACCGCAAACAGACTATAGTGGTGATGGAATCTGTCTCGGGCGTGGGGAAAGCTTTATCCACCAGGTTACCCGTCATTGTCACAAGAAAATCATGAAATGATCTCGTTTGCTGCAAAGGAATGTTGTCTTAATGGTCTCAGAATTGTGTTGAGAATAAGGTTTCGTGGATGATTCTACCATTACTAACAGGACTGACTGACTGAGTTTAGTTTCACGCAATATTCCAGCAATATCACGGCGGGGGACACCAGAAATGGGCTTAACACATTGTGCCCATGTGGGGAATCGAACCCGGGTCTTCGGCGTGACGAGCCAACGCTAAGCCAATAGGCTACCCCACCGCCCCTCCATTACTAACAGGAGTGATGTCTCAAGTAGATATATGTACACGAGTGCTTGATCACTTGCAGTGCTGCCTTCATACATACAATGTAATTAACACATCGTTGTATCAGATCATATCGTGTTTATTCCTTGCATAAACCATGACAATTAAAGTTACCCTGTACGCATTTGTTTTGTTATGAATTATTTCAACGTCGTGTGTTTCTTGACTGAACGAGGGGCGAGTGGGAGATTGAATGAAGTGGGTTTATTACCATTTGAGACACGTTTTATTGACACAGACGAGTATGGTTTTACGACGCTTTTAGCTATTTTCCAGCAATATGTGAGGTGAGGTGAAATTGGGTTTAACGTCGTGCTTGAGAATATTTCACTCATATGACGACGTGCATGCGGGTGTATGTGTAGGTGCGGCTGCTTGTACTAGCCCAGACTGAAGCTGGTTTTATAGTGCTAACACACTGAGATACCATGCCGCAGTGAAGCATGAATACCCCACTCAGACACATTATACTGACTCCGAGCCGACCAGTCCTCGTTGTACCCATTAATGCCGAGCGCCGGGCAGGGACCAACAAGTACCATATTTTAACGTCTTTTGGTATGACGAGGTCGGGGATCGAACCCGCGACCTTCCGCTCTCCGGGCGGACGCTCTAACCACTACACCACGGAGGCGGTCTCCAGTATTATGAAAGCGGAGGACATAAGACATGGGTATTGCGCACTACATAGTTTGTGGGGAAACGAACCCGGGTCTTCGGCTTTTAGCAATATCACAGCGGAGAATAGCAGAAATGGGCTTCACGCACTGTACACGTTGGGAATCAAACCACGGTCTTCGAACGTCTTAATTACTAGGCTACCCCTCTGCCAGAAACTGTTCACATCAGGATGTGCATCGTATATCGGCCGACTCTGGGATTCGAACCAATGACCAGCAACGGATGTTGTCTGTTAAGGGGACACTTTACACAACGACATCGAGATTCACTTGTTTGACAGAAGCATACTCACTACTGTACAATTTCATCTGAATTTGCCTTGCTTTCGCCTTTCATTGACAATATATTATTCATTTTACGGACGGATCGGTCATATATTGTGAGGTTGCGAGTCCGATTTTTATATGCACTAAAGTACGGAAAAAATACAAATGTTTTTGCTATTTATGGAGGACACTCCTACCAATACTTACATTTTTCTCGTCGATGTTTATGAAGTACGGAGGTCCAACAGCTATAGTGTACGACGTCACGGTGTCAACAACCTCGCAGAGCCTGAACACGCGATTCATTTGGTCACTTTGTGCTTAACATCTTAGGTTGCTTGGCACAAAATATAATCTGGTGTTTATCGCCACGTGGGATCTTAAACTGCACTAAAGCAATTACTTCCATGTTAACATCATCACCGTTTTCATAATTTTCTATTTTGGATAACTGCATTATTTACTATGCATGGTTAATAAATCCGCAGGTACAATTCCACAACAAAAGTTTAAAAATCGTTTGAGAGGGAAATGACTTTGAAACATTTAAAAGAACATCAACAGTGCTTTTACATTTACTGAAAACAAAAAAAAAAATAATTTAAAAATATTGCGAGCGAGCCAGGATTCGAACCTGGAATCTTCTGATCCGTAGTCAGACGCGTTATCCGTTGCGCCACACGCCCATCTGATAGTGGCTAAGAAAATTAAGATATATATACGGCAGAGACACGCTGCAATCGTTCTACACCTTAAACAAACCATTAATAACCACAACAACCCAAAAGAAATATTAAAACACGTAATGAAATTAAATCGATCAACATAATAGAATCCTGAATTTAAAACAGTTTCATTGAATTCGCATACACAAGAGTTGTCTCCCCTACTTGATATCGCGCGAAACGCAGCCAGTTTTGAAATGCGCATATTTTTAATAACCAAACTGAATAAACCAACATTCTAAAAGAATTTAAGAAATAGAAAATATTTGTAAAAGTATCCTTTATTATTACAAAGGCATAAATTCATAAATATGATACAGTACATACTGTGCCCATACTGTTGGAGACAAACACAGTAAACATCACATTTTTTAGAAGCAGGTTTTATCTTGCCGTAAGCAAACAATCACAACATATATATCTAGTTTGTCTGCCTAGACAATTGATATTATCAGTTTTGACAACAAATGTGGACAAATACAGAAAGCCCTTTCAATTCATGCACTGTAAAAATTTAAGACGTATAAAATCAATAAATATCGATTTTGTATTTATGTTGAGCCACGTTTCTGCTATGATATGTAGATCTACCTTGCATGCATGCAAACACGTAAACACAACGCACGATCTGCCAGCCCTTCGCTGAATAAGCAATGTTGATACAGAATACAAAATGATTTTATTGTTTTTTAAGAGTAATGAATTGATAATTATTGAGGGTGTTATAAAAAGAAATCCACACTGAAATAAACCTGCAGGCGCGTAGCAAGCCAGTTTTCGTGTTTACAAGCCCGATTGGTTGCAAAACTTTATATTTAGATAGTATTGTGGGCGTGCCCAACGTTTTTAGCAAGGGGCTTTTATTAATAATTGTTGCTACGCCCCTGATCTGATAAATAATTAGTGGCATCCAGGATATACAGCTGTGCTATATAGCTGGGCAATCTGGAATAGGATATTACACCTCTCATCATTACTCAGTATAAAATGGATCAATACCTGTACAACAACCACCATACAACACACAAACACAAACAGGATGAGCATGTATGATCATACAAGTCAATGTCGCCATCCTGAATCAACAAAATGCAGGTAAAATGTCATTTGCTTTGAAAATGCAAAATCAATGGACAGTATAGAAATATGTATGACAGAATATAGTTCCTGATTTAACAATAAAGTTCCTGATTTTTCCTGATTCCCGACTTGCCTTGGAATACCTGAAATATCTTTGATTAGGGGGACAAGGTGGGATGTAAGCCCTTTGAGGTTACACAACACCAAATGTTTTCCCATAGACTTCTATAGTAGCCTTATATTTTTTTTAAAATAATCCAGACTATCAACAGCCATTCCATGTGCACATGGGTACACTCTGGCCTTTAAACTACCATAAAAACACACTATCTGTCCAACTTGTCCGGCTCGTTTTGCGAGCACAGGAAGCGGAACACATCAACCCCAGATCCGCACCAAATGTCACCTACTGGAAAATATCTGTACACACAATAAGCATAAGTCATGGTGATGAAAATCACAGCACTGAATACTTAAAATTGTGGTCAGTTTTAATTACTGGTTGGATATGCTTTTAAAAAACATAAACATCTTACACTATTTCATCCAATCATAGCTGTCACATGTCTTTATCTCTTCATTTGTTTACATACGCACCTCGCTCAGTGAGCAAGCGATTCTCATTTAGTGTAGTATAACCTTGAGGCCTAAATTTAAGAAATGAACAAAACTTGCAAAAATCATTATGAAATTTATAGATTCTAATTTATGTTTATGCAGACTCTTTTTTCTCTCAGCACATCTCAACATGTTATGTGACACAGGCCACCTTCAATAAATGTCTAGTTAATTGTGTGAACCAGAGTATCTACCAGGTGTTGTAAATCATTGAAAACCTTATCATCAAAATAATGTTTCAAATTAATCAACAAATTTCAATATAGACTACAAATAAAATAGCCTTCAAATAAAGTTTATATATATAGTCAGATAGGTGTAATTCTGTCATCATGGAAACAATACATATTAAGTCAATGAAAAAGTAAATATTGAAGAAATGTCATGTAGAAATAGAATTGTCAGTACAGATGACAATGAATCAACACAATCACCAGTTACACAAGGATATATAGAAGCAATAGACAATGACCAGTCATTCACAAATTCAGCAGTCTCACACATCCTGCTGAAAAATACATAAAAAACTGCACTAAACATATCTAGAGCTGAAAGCACATACAAGACACTGCACTGATAAGAAATTAGGGCATACTGACATATTTAATATTTCAGCATGTAATGTGAATCTGTGATTTCAATAGAATGAAGAAGTACCATACATTAACATTAACTTACGACTATCTTAGCTCTAAGAGAGCTTCGAAAATCTAGGCCCAGGTTACTTGTCACAGGTTTAAGGCCAGAGTACTTTCTCTAACACTGTTTCCTGCTTGTCATCACATTATGGCTTAGTGTTTCAAACAACAGAGGAAGGTGTGCACAAGTATGAGACATTTA